TTTGATAAATCACATTGATAGATGCTCTCGAATGTAATAAAAAAAGTAGCTTCGATGAACAATCTGAATACCTATCTTTAGAAGAGCAAGTAAACAGCCAGCTATACATTAGGTTGGTCAATCTTGACCAATTTTCTTGCACTTGAATACATTTAAGAATATGATTATTGTAATTTAAGTAGAGAAAACATTTTCATGAATAAGGTTCACATATTTACAGGAAATATTATAAATTGAATATTTTATATTGAATGTTAATTTCTATATTCCTGATAGTGTACATCATATAAAACTGCTTAGAAGTGAGCTATTATTTAACACAGATATAACTAGATGATTTATCTTACATCAGAATGTTGATTGATGATGCTTGTGAATCAAGGCAGTATCGAGACAATACGCACAGTATGCACATATACTAATAACAGATGCATCAATTACACTCCTAAACATTAATAGGAAGATACAAGCAAACAGTACAAAGTGAATTTAAACTTCACCATATAGCACAAGCAAGAGGCTATCAGGACTCAGTGGGTAAGTGTATAACGTGATGGTGTTTGAAATGGACAGTACTGGATTCGAATCCCAGAGTGAACATCAACTCTGAGATGCAAGTACATCCATCTGACGAGCCCCGAACAGGATGAAACATGCGTCCTGAACCCTACTGCTAGTCACTATCCATCTTTACTTAAAATTTAGCACAGTCTGTTCAACACCATCATTTTTTACTAAACGTTAGTAAAAAGTGATTTTTCTATGTCCTTATGAACGTTTTGAATAATACATAGAGTTATTTCTACAGATCGTCATACATGATATTTGAATTTCCCATAAAATTCTTGATGATGATTGGTTCATCCCCAAAATATACATGTACTGAGTCTTTTTATTCATTCTAACATTTTCAACTTTCATACAAGAAAACTACATCACTTTACATGTAAATAGATAAAAGAGGCATAAACAATCTGTTAACCAAAATACCTGTACTATCTTATCATTATAAGTCAATATCAATGTGACTATGGACATGGAATAACCCATATGTTATTGTTACATTACAAACCGATATTTTGAACTACTGAATATGTTCAACCTTATTTACCGTTTCACTAAACATTAATCTTATTTACCATGTATGGAGTTTGTTTATACATATTACAATGATTAATTTTCAATCGTTTTCTTGTATACACATATTTCTGTACAAATGATTATATCTTTAAAGAGATCGGTTTGGTTTCTGATAGTAACAGAATATAATTCTACTGAGCTACTTTGTATACTTTTCTTGTATGAATTCATATATGATAGGTTCAGGGACATAAAAGTGAATTCCTCAATAAGATTATTAGAAACTATGATAAGGCTGAAAATACTTCTTCCATTTAATGCATACACCATAAAGAGATCTATAAAATTAATGAATTATATATCAAACTCTGATTGAATGATTGCCTGCTCTGTTATTCAGTTTAATGTGTTGGTGGAGATTTGTAGCTCAAGTGGATGATTTTAATGGAGTTTTGTTCTCTGAGCTGGATAGTTTGGTCGTGGAGCTTTCATCGTTCTTCTTAATGACATCGTCAGCACAAACTTCAGGTAGAATTGAAGTGTTCGGATTTCTCCATATGTGGTTCACAGCTTGTCCCGTACACCTAGATGTTGATTGGTTGAGAGGTTCAACCTCACTTCTACCTGATGTTTGTGCTGATGATGTCATTCAGAAGAACGATGAAAGCTCCACGACCAAACTATCCATCTCAGAGAACAAAACTCTACCAAAATTTAATGTGTTTCTAGAAGCTTTCGGAGTTTAACAGTTATCAATACACCTCTATATAAGTTTATTTTCTGTAGTGATGTGAACCTCAGAGTAAAGATTTTACTCATATTTTACTCTTTTACTTGATTGTTCGAGTCCAAGTGTAGAAGTTGTCTACAGTTATAGGAAGCATCTAAAAAGTCAGTAAAAAGCGGTGAAACTATAAATTATGGACGACCTTTGAGCGACACTGAAGTGACTGAGAGAGTGGAGACCTACTGACTAGGACTGAATGAGGGCTGTAAAGCAGTTAGAATTCTCACTTACAGTTAGGGCTGAAAATTAGATTTAGGGTTTTCATCACGAATTGACATCAGCTATAATGCCAAAACTCTTGCCGTAATAAGCATTCAAGTAAAAGACTTATCATTAAAGTTTAGGACAATCCTGGTAGTATTTCGACCAATCAGTGTCCATGAGAAACCTCTAGAAGAATACTCAACAAGGGTGGATTATGTTTTCATTATTTTAATTGAACCATCACTGGATTTGTCATCGATGTTATCATATCTTTTCCGGAAGATTCTATAAACTCAAAGTCGCGTCAATACCCATGTTTTCTGTATAGAAACTAGCCTTCCAATACAAACTCCTTTCATACATCGTCGTTTATTTTCTGTTCTGCATTCAATATAGGACGATTTCTTGGGGGGGGGGAAAGGAATCTGGAAGAAGTTAGGAGGTTAGTTTCCGGACGTTCAAGTGTGAGAGTTATCAAGAACCATAACAACAGTTGAAGCTTGTGGGTATACATAGTTGAGGATTTATAAAGTGGGATGAAAATACTGCCTAGCTCTGTCATGTTTTCAATTCAAAAATGCAACTCTACACATAACCACCTAACTAAACCAGTAGTTTTCTTTCAGGAAGCGATAAAACTCGATATGGTGTTTTTATTAGGTTCAACATTCGTTCCGTATGAAATATCGCATGAGTTTTATGATAATTTCATGATTAAATCCATTTTCCAATTAGATGTCATATTAGTTAACTAATCAATCATTCAGTGTCATTACATTCTGTATAAAAATGTAGATGAACAGATTCTTTTCTACCTGTCGTCAATCATTGTCTTAAGCCTTGAATCATGAAAATCCCAGTTCTTCAATTTTTAAGACTAGTTTATTACAGTTATGACATTTATTTAATCAACCATGTTATCAATAGTCTGTTTGTAACTCTACTAACTACGATCTTGTGTATTGTAGATCCAAATATTTCAAGAAAATATCGATTTACGTAAATGTTATAGATGCATCTTACTAATAAGTGCAAAACAAGTATAAAAATATACTTGAAAGTCCTACTCAAGATGGACACCAGTTGATCGATGTCATTAAGAAGTTATTTTGGTTGATAGCGATAATCCATATACACAATTTATATACATTACAACTACTGTAGTGAACGACAACACAAGTGAGTACAACAAAATGTATTCTAATACAATATTACATTATATCTTGGTAAATTCTGAGGATCATACAGAATTACGTCATTTGAGAGGTATCCATCAATAGTTACAGACTTCGTTTCCATACCAATCACTTTCTGTTCTCGTTCTCTTCGCTTCGATTTTCTAAACCTTCTGCCACCAGGTTTTCCACTCTCGACTGGTGTATACGTACTACTTATGTCTGTTATTATCAGTAGCACACACCATACTACCACTGTAGATTACGACATGAAGCAAAGGATTTATAAGTGCAGAGTCAGTCTTACAAACCAATGGTATATGTATGGTAATTAACTTATGTATTTTACAGCATAAAGTCTCTTAGTTACATGACCATTGTAAACAAGCAGGCAATGGACAGGTGCTTCAGTCTAGTTTGGAGCTATTTAGCAGGATGCATTCATGACTCCACCAAAGATCTAACTCGAAACTCTCATGTCTTGTGGGGAACGCAGTTCAAGTGCTAATCGCTGGCTTTGAGTCATGAAGGCTCTGTTTTCGATTAGTAAGTGGATTAATGAATGCGTTCTTCTGGAGAGTCTTATGTTAGAATATAACAACTTTCGAGTGCTTTCTGGTTTTCGAAATTTACTCAACTATGATCATTTTATCATGTAAACTACGAAACTCAACGATTCCCCCAAACCCCTCACACTAATTACGTTCTATCAAGTAAGTCACAATATTTAATTTAAGTTTTCTCTGAATGATTCTGTCTCACTATCTGTAAGTCTATTCAAAAAAGATGAACTGATGATAAAGCCTATTTTATTGTCAATACTCATCATAGACTGACTGATCTTACTCGAGGTACCATTGGGAGCTAGAGAGAGCTGATTAGTTCTTTCGTCTCAATATGGAGCTGGAACAACCTCATCAATGATTAAGTATGGTATTAAGTGTTTTTTTTACACTATATTACAGGCTTTCGAATTTGACTAGACACAATAAAATGCTGACACCATGGCTCTAATAGATAGACCTAAGAGTCCTTTTTTCAATTGTTATTGTGTTGTTGGTCAGCACAATTGAAAAGCACCACACTATAACGAAACATCCATTCAGTTTCCTCTCATTTTCAATGGTGCTTAAACTGAGAATAATGTATGATGAATACAACCTACACATTTAATCAATCTTCATATAATCTTATCAAATAAAATCTATTTGTATGTTAAACTCTTTGTAACGTTTATTTTTTCTCTCTTTTGAATCGATGACATTTTTAGAAAAACTAAATTAACTCATATATCACATTATAAATAATGATATATTTAACCAAAACAAATAACACTTTGAAGATATAATCTTTAGGCTTATTTTTACCTCCCACATTATATGTTTAAATTGACCGTTCGTTATATATTGAATATCTCATTAGATTAGATGACATGTTACATAACACGTCTGTAGGTATTGAAATACTAGAATTCCAGCATAAAATCCCCGCCATCCAATACAACATGATAGCCACCTTTGTTGGTTGTGTTTGTCGTTCTGATCTTTATATATATTAAGACAAAGTAATACATTCTAAGGAAAAATCTGATTGGTTGAGACCAAACTTTGATTATTAATCTGATTGGTTCATATATGTCTATTCGACTAGTTTTCGGCCCATTGATTATTGTTAAAACTCACCAATAAGGATAATTTTATGTAGGTTGCTATACAAACTAACCATGAATTTACAAAAAATTTTTTTTCATTTTTAATTTAAAAAAAAAAGTATGTTTTACACGTGGCATTAGAATAAACAAACCCCATTTGAATTAGTGTAGTTATTCACTTTTACAAAAAGATTATTACATTTTATATTATTGAGAATTTAATCAGAACTGGAATATAAATCTAACTGTGCTGGTATCCAGGACCTTCATCATCATCATCATCGTCGTATATAAATAACCAATGGCTGAATTTCGTAAATGTTTTGAGAATTTAGACACTGAGAAACGTGGTGTAATTACAATTGAAGATTTAAAAAATTATATGTATAAAATGCATTATAAAGAAACATTCTTACATAAATGGATTGAATTATTTGATCCTGAACATACAGGATTTATTACTTATGAACAATATTGTAAAACACTTGGTTTAATACCACGTAAACGTACACTTAGTAAAAATTTAACAGATTCTACATTATTATTATCATCATCATCATCATTGTCTATTTCATCAAAACAAGATAATGTAGATGAAGCATTAATTGGTAGTTTTGATAAAAATATAAACGAGACTAATATTACTACAATCATTCAACAGTAAGTAGTACTTTATATATATTCATAATTTTATTTTATGTTTGTAATGAAATTTGTTTATGAACGCTTATTTAAGAACAAATAACACGAATTCCAAAGTGACCTCTTAACTTTCAATATTCAATGGAAAACACAATCATTTGTATTGAGAAATCTGTGTGCTTTTAAAACTCGACTTGATTTGTATCAGAAGGCGATTTTGTAGATATTATAGTAATTTCATTACAACTGAGGAGTCCCACAGTATTATGGAATGGCCGTCTAGTGCTTTCAAGTTTTCCATGGTGGTCCCATGATCTCAACTAATGAAATCTTGATTTATTGAAGATCATTTCTATACTAAATAAGTTGACTAAATATACCAGACCACTTTACTGAATGTTGTGTCTTTAATGTATCATTTTCGCTTTTCAACTTTTAGTAAATGATCTTTTAGTTCACTTAAAGCGATTTTATGAAGATTAGCTTAGGTTATCAATTATATTTGTCACAAACTGATCTTAATTGAGATTTCATTGAAATCAGGGAGCAATGAAAATCATGGTATTGAGGGTCCTTAGTTTTGGAAACTCACAATCTGATCATGAAGCTAACACATTGTCTTTAAGTCGCTCAGCAAACAATTAGCCATTCAAACCACTGGGTCAACTGCTGTTGGTACAATCTTAATTTGAAATATTTAAGCGTTTTCTGTAAGATCCAAAAGTTCTAGTTCCTAGTTTTGATGAGGTCGTTGATAAGAACAGCTGAAGAATTCCATAGTAAGACATGATCCTGTTTTTATCGACCTTACATTTTCTGTGTTAAGCTGTGTAGGTTTTACTGTCATTCTAGACGATATGATTAGTACTTATTTTTAGTAGAGACGTGAACTTTCAGATCCATAAAAAGTCCTACTGGGAAACTGTGGCTAGTGGAGTTTAACCAAATGCCCTGGTACGGCCTAGAGTGAGGAGAGTTCGCTCAACCTCTCGAAATGCTCTCACTTGACCACGCCTATATAGCCTCTGACAGGGAAGTCCTACTCGCTAGCTTCTCTCACCACAGGTGTTGTTTACGAAATTGAGAGAATCAAAAGCGAATGTCGGCCCTGTAACTGGGTTGGTGGACACGCAGAGTCCACCAAGGGGAGTTGGAAAACCCTGATTCCAAACCAATGGTGCACACGGGCTTCAGTATCCTGAAGGAGCAAATGGCGTGTGAACCAATCGTTGATCACCGGCTACCATGGGATTGCATCTCCTTACTATGCTCCACTGCCTTGTGGATCAGACGTTCAGGTCGAAGGCTCGGGGTGTGGCCCCCTAATAAAACCACCTGCTTTGGTTTGGGCACTCGTTCAGTAGCACAGCCCTCACACAAATCATGTGAGATTTGTGTGGCTCATATTTATTTAGTGCCACCTTGTACCAATATCTATGTGTTCAAATAATACTAATAATAACTATGTTGAGTGTGAAGTAGTTACGGGTCAATTGTACTGGTCGGTCCAACGATATCTGTACGCAATAGCTAAGTGAATAACTCGACGGTGTTTGAAGCGAACGGTACTAGGTTCGAGTCTTGAAGTAAACTTCAAATCTGGGATGGAGGTACATCCAGCTGACGAATCCAAGTGAAATAACAAAAAATGACAACTAAGAATCATTTTCTTAGTGTGTTGCTAAGTTAGTATTTTATATTATTTTTTTTTTGTGGTAATTAATATTATAATCAATTGATTCACCTGTAGTTCAAACCATTCTTTGTTTTGGTTATATGATTTTCTATTTGTATTGTATAATTTGTTTGTTAGTCAATCAACAAAATTCACTATAGTTTAGTCATAACTTTTTCAAAAGAAAAAAAAGGAATTTTTAATTATCTACTTTTTCTGGTGTCTAGATTTGCATGTTTTTCAATGGTATTTAATGAAGTTTAGTTTATGATACAATCAATAGATTGATAGTTTAATGACATAATAAGTAACTAATTTTTTATTGTTTGTCTGAAACTTCTCATTGATGTTTAATACTGTGGTTAATCTATCTCTTATTGGAATATGTGCATATTGTGTGTATTGCCTAGATATTGCCTTCAGTTACTAGGATTATAAGCAGAGATGCATAGTGGCTATCAGTGGAATCGTTCTAGTGGCTAAAGGCTATTAGGACTCAGTAACTAAGTAGATAACTCGATGGCATTTGAAGAAAACGATACTGGGTTCGAGACCCGGAGTGAACATTGACTACAGGATATAGGTACATCTAGCTGACGTGTCCCAAATAAGATGAAACATGAGTCCTAGCCACTATCCATCTTTGCTTACCATAATTAATTAAATTTTGACTCTATCGAGTTTTTTTATTTTAAAAATTCAATTTTTCATTGTTTACATCAATTTCTATGCGGGTAGTATAATAGCATCTTCATCTGTACTTGAGTTTGTTACGAGACTTTGATTTATGGATGAATCGATAAAATTAATAATAACAAGTCTTGGATTTTGGCCCGAAGTTTGAGATTAAGATTTTGAAACTAGTTGAAAGTGGTCAGCAATTCATACCTACAATCTTAAAGGAATTGTTACTCCCAGTTGAATTCAAACCACCTATCACTCAGGCTCACAAACTGTAACGTTACCACTGGGCTATTCCAGCCTTATGACAGGTCTGCTGATAGACTTAAATATGTAGAATTGATTCTTAATACCGACTTCATCAAAGAATTGTACCCGACAACTTCAGTTCCCACAGTGAACATCTACCTATTCAAACCACTGGTTTAAGATCCAATGGTACAATTTCAAATGTAAAAAATTTATGATTTTTCACCAAAGATTATCTAATGAACATTGTTGCACACCCGATATATTGAAACCCCATAAACATGACTTATCAGTCAGTCAGTCAGTCAGCTACAACGTAGGACTAGGCACATATATTTATCGGTTCAAGTTGCCACACCTCACTGGCACAACAAGATGAATACCAAACTCATAGTAGTTACTTCCATGGTATTAATTTATAAAAGAAAAACTGTGTAAAAGGATATAGTACGGAAAGAAAAAAAATTAGTTAGTAAAAAGAAAGATATAAAGCAATTTTTATCTCATAGTTTAAGGAAAGACAAAGAGTGTATGCACTGACGCCATTGTGATCGATTCTGATCCATGTCGCCAAGAGCCTCCAACCATTTGTTACGATAGTCACACAAACCCCAAGCGAATAGTCTGCGCCTAACAACATGGCTAAGACTAAAAGTTAGTGACTTCAAGCACTGATGCCACGTTTTAGTTTGGCCGCCCCTAACTTTCTCCCACCCTTCTCCAACATTAGTCAGCATTGCGCACCGTGGTAATCGATGTTCAGGCACACGTAACATGTGGCCTAACCATCTCAGTCGATAAAGGTCCACAACCTCATTATTCCCTAATACTCTGCGTCTAACCTCATTATCACGTACCCGGTGTTCCCAGTAGATAGGAGCAATATTTCTAAGATACTTGTGATAAAATACTAGTAATTTACGAGTATTTCCTACTCAGTCATAAAATAGAATGGAACCACTTCAGGTTGCAGAATCAGATAACAGTTCACCATAAGCTCAGACTTAACTAGTAGTGTTCGAGTAAAAAGACATCACAAGGTTTATGTACTTCTAAGGTACACCTTTCAATGGCAGACACTGCTACAGAACCTCTTGGTCTAAAGAGTCAAATACTGCTCTGAAGTCAAGAATAACTATCATTATTGGTAGATATTCAGGAACATTATATATATATATATATATATATATATATATATATATATATATATATATATATATATATATATATATATATATATAATGGTAAACAATCAATTCCGACTGATGAACTGATGATTGAATTGATATTGAATTTACTCTTACCTTCCCTACATTTTATTTTTCACCCAACAGATGATAAATTTTCACAATAAATGTTACAATATTTGATTGTTTATTTATTTTTTTCAATTACTACACGTCTTAATTCTAGTTTTAGGATGATGGAAAAAAAAGAAGAATAATTTTATTTCATTGTTTATAACAATATTGATTTGTATGTGTGTGTGTGTATCTGTGTGAGTGAGTGTTATGTTAGTTATTTCATGCATTGTTGCTATGTGTAAATATTGACGGCAAAAAAAAAAAACAAACAAAAATAATACATATCGGAAGATAAACATTCGGTTTTAGTTCTGTCTTTTTTTTATTATTTTTTTTTTTCATTTAATTAATGTAATTGTTTAATAGAGGAAAATGGTTTGTAAAGATTAATTTTCGATGATTTTTATCATTATAAATTAAAATTTTTAGAAAATAAAGAAAAGTAGACAGATGATACTTCTTAGTATGAGAACTCTATAACAATGAACATATTTATAATTTTTATAGGGTTGAAATTCATCACCTTTATAGACTGTGACTGTTTTTTGTTTTTTTTTTAACCATTAAACTACTTAAATGAAGTTCAGTTGTTTACATTTTCAACATTGACTAACTCGGGATATTAAAATAGTTACTTACTAGTTTTATCTTTTAAACGATTGAACCTTATCAGTAAAGATATCTCAATAAAATGTTGTGAATTTTACCTTTACATTAGTCAATAGTGGGGATATAAACTCATGTGGATTACCTACCATACTACAGTGTTTTATAATATTAGTTTTGAACATTTGAGAAGAAATATCACTTTATTGTGATTAGTAAGGTTATTGGGGAATCTTTTCACGTTATTGTGAATATGGTTATAGATAGAAACTTGAAATTTTGCAAACAACTAAGAAGTGCTATTTTTTTCAAATATAAACTGTATACTCTATTCGAACCCATAACTCTATTGCAGATTAAATTCTAGAACATAGGTCTCGCTCTTAGGCTCTTAATCTCGAAACCACTGAGTCAGTATCTAATGATCTAAATATCTAACTTCAACCAGTTCACATTATGACCGTCTTTCATTGTCTACGGTTCATATAACTATCTCATACGTG